AAAAAAAAAAAAAAAAAAAAAAAAAAAAACAGAAGGGGCGGAAAAAAGCAGAAAAAAAAGAGAAATATATATATATAAAAGAGGAAAGAAAACACATCAAATTATGAGAAAAGGCAAAGAAAAAAAAATCTGAAAAAAAAAGAGAGGGAAAAAGTTTCTGAAAAAAAAAAAAAAAAGCGTGTTTGAGTAGGAAGACGTCTCCCAAGGCGTCATTTTAACAGAGGGTATAGAATTGCAGGTGATGTGAGACGAGATGTACGTAAGTGTGTGTGTGTGTGTAGGGAGGGGAGGGGGGTTATGGAAATAAGAGAAAATAGGGACCAGCAAAGCAGCAGATGGTATTGTTCATGTAACAGCTACCCAACGTGATACCGCTTCTATTTTTCTTTTTAATTCTGACTATCCGTTTTACTCCTTTGCTCTCAGGATCTACAATATGCAATGTGTGTGGATTTCTGTTAATTGACATGTATGCAGTTTATCAGCTTCATTTTTCTGTTTTATTTTTTTCCCCCTGCATCTCGACATGGGTGCGCTTTTTTTTTCCTTTTCCACTGTCGGCATACATACCTATATACATATATATATAGGTATTTGTAAATACGCACACGGGCACGCACATCAACGCAGAGTGAGAGAGTGAAAACGCAAGGACACTCCTTTCAGACCATGAAATTTCTCTTGGTTCTGAGTGAATTGAATAAGAAAATGGACAGATGGAAAAGAAAAGACATTATTCTTTATTGGTTTCTTTTTTTTTGTTTTTCGTTCCAATTCCTTCTGTCTTTGTTCTTCGTTGCTGGTAGGCGGTGCGATGTGTTGCGGAGTGCGAGCAAGGACGATCCTCGAGTGAGAGCGGGAAAAGCATATTTTGGGGGCATACAGAGAAAAGGGAAAACGAGGATCGAAGAAGTTTAGTATGTGGGAACTACAGCCACACTGCTCTCATTGAATACAAACAAACTTACAGACACGCACAGACAATACGTCCCACTTTACGGACGGTAGGAAAGGTTTTTATGTTTTTTTTTTTTTTTTCTCGTCTCAGGAACATTTGTGATTCTAGATACGCGGAAAAAACTATATCATTGTTTTTTTTTTTCTTCTCTTTTCTTTTATTAATTAGCCAATCTCTCTTGTTTTTGTTTTGAATTTATTTTTATTTTTTTATTTATTGCTTCGTGGTGGAAAGTATATCTTTGTAAATAATTTTTTTTTTATTTTCTTTTTTCTTTTTTAGATCGTAAGAAAAAAGTTTATTTTGCTTTTTTTTTTCCTCTTATCCCCAGTACTAAAAACACACGACTACAATGACCCAAGTTCCTTTGGTTTCGCAGTACGATCCTTACAGCCAGCCTGCCCAGCAATTACAGCAGTTGCAACAACAGCAGCAACAACTTCAACAGCCTCAAGTGAGTGCTGAGCCTGATATGCTGCGCAATCTCATGGTGAACTACATCCCCACCACAGTTGATGAGGTCCAGCTGCGACAATTATTTGAGCGCTATGGCCAAATTGAGTCTGTGAAGATTGTGTGTGATCGCGAAACCCGCCAAAGCCGCGGCTTCGGGTTTGTGAAGTTCCACAGCGCCTCCAGTGCGCAGCAGGCGATTACCGCACTCAACGGCTTCAGCATTCTCAACAAACGCCTGAAGGTGGCGCTGGCGGCGAACGGTCACCAGCGCGGCGGGGCGGCTGGACAGGTCGGCGAGAACAACGGCTACTTTGGCGGCTACGGCGGCTACGGCGCCTACCCGTACGCCCAGCAGCAGATGATGGCGATGTACGCCCAGCAGTATATGATGCAGGCACCGGCGCAGTCCCAGCCGCAGGCCCAATCGCAACAACAACAACAACAACAACCACAAATGCCGCCACCCCCACAGCAACAGCAACAGCAACAAGCACCACAGGCACAGGGCAACCGTCCTGCCAGATAATAAAGAGTTAGAATGCGGGTTGGGAGAGAATCTGAGGAATATGAGTAATGTACGTGGACCTTTTAAGTGAAGAATTGGGGAACATCAGCTGTTCTTCGTACCTGCACGTATAGGGGTAGGCGTGCCGTGCCGGTTGTTAAGTGTGTATGAGAATGGAAAAAAAGGAAAAAAAAAAAACAGAAAGAATTCGGAAGACATCAAAGGATAAGGCCCGAAAGAAAAAGGCTCAGGATTAATTGGAGATGGGGGAAAAAAAAATGAAAAAAAAAATGGTTAAACCCAAAGAGGAAAAAAAAAAAAGGCCGAAAGAAAAAAAAAAGAGGAGGAAGACTAAATGGACGCTTCAATACTACTAGCTATGCTGAAGAGATACGTTTGGAGGGAAGCATGAAATATATGCAAATTTGAAGGGAGGATGCGTGGATCATAAAGAAAGAAAAATGAAAGAAAAGTATCGGCTAAAAGGGAAAGCGAAGAAGAAGAACCACATCTAGTGCATGACATCTATTTGTTCTGTGTGTGTATATATATCTTTACGTGTGTTTTCGTGGGTGAGGGTACTGTAGCGATATGGGATGTACTCCCCCCACACCACTTGGGAGAAGCCAAAATGATTGATAAATGGGATAAAGGTAACGAGCATGGGATTCTTCTTTCGGAAATGGAGAAAGTAGACGAGGTAATGCCTTATTTTGATCCCCTTTATTCTCAATGGTTGTTTTATTTCTGCCCATGTAATTGAAAAGGATCACTATGCATTGTGTACGTGTTCACATATACACGTACATGTACACACAAACACAAACAGGTAGAAAGAAAGAAAGAGAAGGATATTTACGCAACTGTACTAGAGGTGAATGATGCAATGAGGAAAAAGAGAAAAAGAAGAAAGAAAAGAGAAAGAAAAAGCAGAGAAGAGTGTGGGAAGGTGAGAAGAACGGGAGAGACAGCGAGAGAGAGAGAGAGTCGAAAATAGTGCAAATGCGTTGGCCTTTTTTCATTTTCTTTTGTTATCAGTTCTTTTACTGCAACATTATCAGCATCACAAACATTGTCGTCTGTATCCTGTTGCTCCTTTCCCTTTTTTTTTGTTTCTGTTCGCCATATTTTGTTATTTATTGCCGATTTATACATAAAAAAGAAAGCCTTAGGTCTCTTGTTTGGTTTTTTTTTTTTCGTTTTGTTTATTATTATTATTGTTATTATTGTTGATTGGCAGGCGAGACGTTTCATCGCTTCTTTGCTTTTCCCCTTCATTCTTTCGGTATTTGCTTTTGCCGTTGACTTGTGCGCGCTGGGATTTCTTTTTTTTTTTTTTTTTTAGGGGGGTTCTGTCTCTCTGTCTGTGTGTCTCTCTATCTCTTTTTCCGATTGTTTGTTTTTTGTTTTTTGGTTTGCCTGGGTTTTGTGTGCGAGGGTTATTGGCACAATTCACAGTGGACAAGAGGAATGGTGGTGATAGGGTGATATTTACGGAGAGCGGCATGTGAAGTGTTTAGGTCTCCTTTTATATATATATATATATATATATATCCCTGTCTCTGTATTGCTTCTTACTCTCTGCTTGACTATATGATGCCTATTTACAGATGTGCATTTTTGGTGTTGACAGTTTCTTCTTTTTATTGCCTTTATTACTGAGTTGATGTGTTGGACGGGGTAGTCGCGTTATCCCTTCAGTTTTTTTTTCTTGGTTACTGAACATTGTTGTTGATTGGCTTTTTTTTTCTGCTATTCTTCACCGTCAAACACCTATACTTGTCATTTTCTTGGAATTGCACTAGCTTGCTTGCTTTATTTTTACTCAGAACGTTTGGTGGTTATTATGATATTATAAATACTGTTAATTTTTACATACATGCTTTTCTTTTTTGTGGCTTTGGCTGTTGTGTGCGTGTGTGTGTGTGTATTTGAAACAGCCGCAGCAAAAGAAGTAGAAGTAGGAGAGGTATTATGTGTATGTGTGTATGTGTGTCTCAATAGAATGGGAGGAGTGATGTTTTTGTTTAAGTGTGCTGGGTGGAGAGTATACTTGGAATTAAAACTAAAGAGAAAATCTATCAATGAGAAACATATAAACACTTACGTATATATATATATTTACTTTCAGTTACACTTGTATGAAATACAGACTGAGATCTTGACAGTCTCATTTATTCTCTTTCTCCCACCTTTTTCGTTATTTCTCTGTTGTGTTCGTACGTCTCCTAAGGTTTAGTTTAATCTACAGCTGCTGTAGTAAGGACGACGTACAACATGTATAGATGAAATGTTTAACGAAATAAGTGGGGGAGAAAAAAGAAAAAAGGAAAGAAATATGGAGAAGTATACATACACCAGCAGGGGTAGATGCAATGGGAAACAGGAGAAAAAGTAAGATATATGCATCTTTACCTATTGGAGAGATATAAAAAAAAAAAAAATAAGAATAATAGTAGTAATACTAATGATAATAATAAAAAGGAATGAAATGGTAGAAACGGCAATGATATATTGTAAACAATAAAACAGAATCAACTCTTGTTTTGTTTTATTTTGTATAAGAAGAACTTAATCCCATTACGTCCATTCTTGAAGTCATTTATGCACTGTTGAAGGAGAGTAGAGAGGAATGGGTGGAGAAGAGAAGAAAATAATAAATAAAAAAAAGTAAAAGGATAGACTTTGAAAAGAAGTAAATACCCGATTATTAGGGCAACAGTCTTGCTCAAGAGTTACTGCACATAAACAGCTCAAATGAGGATATAAAACACTATCCTTTATGTGCTTACTCAGAACATTGCAGACACTTATGAGATGATACGATTTTATAAGGGAGTGACCGACGCGTGTACTAGATTGGAAGAAAAAAGCTGGTCTGAGAAGTGATAATAGGTGTATAGCATGCTTTTTTCTTTTTCTTTTTTTTTGTCATTGCTATTATTATTATTATTATTATTATTATTATTATTATCATCACTTTATTACTATTACTATTGCTGCTATTCTTATTGTTATTGTTATTATCACTATTATTTTTATTATTTTTGTAGTGGGATAGTTGCTGTACTCCCTTATTGTGACGTATCACAAAGTGAATTATCTCCTCATCGTCTACCGTGTGACTCTCGGGAATTTTTTAGTGTTTTAATAACTGCATAATATACATAATCGTACATATACACTATATATATATAGTGTAATACATTACCAGGCAACACGAAAATAAAAGATATAAACATCTACAAATCGGAAAAAAAGTAATGATAAGATCTGCAGTCGCGGAAAGGAAAAAAAAAAGACTTTGAACCTACCTTTGTTTTTACCTCCTTTGTTTTTCATTTGAGAAAAATTAAAATAGAACAACATTTGAGTGAGAATAGAGGGGGAAAAAAAAAGAAAGGTGGTGAAGTTTTTTGTTTCTTTTTCTTTCTTCTTTTCCCTTCGTAGAGAAAACAACAACGAAAAAAAAAAAAAAAAAGAGCCTCCAAATTCTTTTTCTTTTTTTCGCGCCATCATCAGCAGGATATGATAAATGACAGGTAACAGAACAAGGTAATACTTTGTTCCATATATTTATGGTAGACGCCTACTTTATAGGTCTATGAAGACCAATTTTCTCTTTTAGAAACCCCCTTCTGTAAACGTATTTATTTCTCTTCTCTTTTTATTATTATTATTATTTTCTTATTACTTTAGTGTTTAGTGTTACGTAGTGTGGGGATATATATATATATTCTTCTTGTTGTTTGCTTTGCGGCACTAACTTTGAGAGAGAGAGTGTGTGTGTGTGCCTGGAATAAACTCGGAAAATGCATGAAAACAAGCGTGCGGGTTCTGTTGTGTATTCCTCATCCTCCAGCAGTAGTGAAGATGACCGCCGCGGTGTTTCCTCCGCCCCAATGGCGACAACGCATGAGGTGGTGGCGCCGCCCCGCGTGGGTGTGAAGGAGCGGGCAATGATGTTTGCCGCCCCGACGGGCCCCTCGTCTACTTTGGCGGCCGTCACCTCCACTCCCGCAATTGCCGCAGAGACAAGTGGAGAGAAAACTTCAACGACAGAAGAGAAGAGAGGTCGGACGGCAGCAGTTCCCATCTCGTCCCTTTCAGTAAAGAGATGCGTGACAGATGGAGAGATTAAACCCGGAATGCGAGTATTATTTCGCTCTCCAATAATAAAAACAACAGCAACTCTACTTGAAAGGGGTTCTACTACATCCTGGGAATTGGGAAAAGTTATTGAGTTGTTGCCCTGTACCGATAATGATGATGATAATAATGATAGTCTTGATGGGGATGATGACGATAAGACTAGAGGGTTTCTTACCAGTAATAATGACGTAATGGTAGTTATTAATAGTTTCACAGGGAGGTTTTCTGAAGAGCGACAAATACGAACTAAACTACGATATGTGCGGCGGTACAGCTATGAAGGATCACCGTTTGATCTGAATGATCTTTCTATTTTACCGGAACCTAGTGATGCAGCTTTGCTCTACTCTCTAAGAGAACGTTTTTTCGAAGGATTGCATTATACTTTTGTTGGGCGAGTCATGTTAGCAGTGAATCCTTATGAACGTTGTAAGTATCCTTCGAATGTTCCCCATCCACGGCAAATCTCAAGAGCTGCAAGAGATCTTTTACTTATCCATAGAAGTAATGATTTCAATAATAATAATAATAATAATAATAATAATAATAATAATAATAATAATAATAATAATAATAACAAGAGTAGTGTTAGTGATGGTAATAACGATGGTAATATACAGACTGGGACTGAAGATAGAATAGGGGTAAATTCAGGTAGTTCTCTCACTGTTCAACAACGCCCAGTGGCTCTCATTGTTACTGGAGATAGCGGAGCAGGGAAGACAGAAACAGCAAAACTTGTACTTTTTCATTTTCTTGCTGATTCTTTATCTGGGATGAAGAAGTTTTCATCACTTTCAACGAGTGATGCATTAGAAACTGTATCGAAACGTATCCTTGGAATTCTTGAAGCAACAAATTGTCTTCTTGAGTCATTTGGAAATGCATCAACACCACTTAATGATAACTCCTCACGCTTTACGAAGTCTGTCACGGTATTCGTAGATTCAAAAACTGGTGAAGGAGTTGGTGCCCGTATGGAATGTTATCTTCTTGAAGTCTCACGTTTAGTCTCCCGTTTATCAGGTGAATCCACCTTTCACATCTTTAGTATGCTTTTTGCAAACAAAGACGGTCTGACTCCTGAAGAACAGCAACGTTTTGATATTTGGGATCCTACACTCTTTCGTTCCATGTACTCCAGTGGAGGAGATGTCTATCTTGGAACTTCACCCTATACATTTTCTCAAGTTCGTACAGCATTAGAATTAATTGGTCTAGACACGGATAAAATTAATTCTGTTATACGAATACTATCTGGTATTCTGCACCTTTTAAATATTGAATTTACAGCACGTGACCTTTTTGCTCCTGCATTTATCGTTCCTACATCAATGTCAGCTTGTAAGAAGGCAGCAGAATTACTTGGATTTCCTTCCATAAATGAACATGATTCACTAGAGGCTATGTTGACAACAGTACGTTTAGGAGGAGAAATTCGTCAGTTGCACTCTGCAGCAGCGGAATCGACACGGGACTCTGTTGCTAAACATCTTTACGAATCGCTTTTTCAGTACATTGTTTATATGATAAATAAATCACTTTTACCAAATAGTAGTACGGGATTGGAACAATACGGTCGATTTTCACTTTTGGATATTTTTGGTTTTGAAGTTAAAAATCAAAATTGTGGAAATAACGACCTAGAGCAACTACTCATTAACTACACAAATGAGGCGATTCAATATTTATACGAAGAGACCACTTTTGAGTCTCTATTTACAGAAGCATTACGTGAAGGAGTTCAATTGGAACTTTCAAAAGAAGAGAATCATCATCGTAGTGGTGATACATATAATATTTTCGTACAAAGACCTCAAGGAGTTTTAAATATAATAAATGATGATAGCCTTTTATCGCAGCGATCACGTCAAGAGGGTGGAAAAAATTTAGCCGCCATGTTAGCTTCACTTCAGAAAAAATTTCCAAACTTGATAAAACCTCATCAAACAGATCCTACAAAAATATCTATACAACATTATTGTGCAAATGTGTTGTATGATACCCAAAATATGTCTGCCAAAAATCGTATTTCTACAGCTGCTCCTTTAATTTGTGCAACGAGTACGGATACTTTTATTTTAGATATCTGTAAAACCATTTCATCTTTATCTACTGGACAACATTCTTCATCTCTTACAGAAGGTGGTATGAGTGTATTTTCACCCAGATCACATGCTACAACACTTATCGCACGCTTTCGTGCACAATTAGATGAACTTATATCAGAACTAAAGAACTCTGAACTTCTTTGGATCAGGTGTATAAAACCAAATAGTAACAAACATCCACACAAATTTGATTCAACACTTGTTTTATTACAGTTAAAGTCTGCTGCTGTATTGAGAACACTTTTGCTATTTGGAAAAGGATATTGTCACAGTTTTAGTTATAAAACTTTTGTGCAAAATTATCTTTCTCTTGCCGTTCGAGGATATTGCTGTGATGCGCTTGAAAATGGCAGCTCCAGCAAAGAAATTTACACTTCCTCATCCCCTCCCTATTTATCATCTTCTTCATCCTTTTCACGTGGTGGGATGTTTGAAAAATCAAAGTTGCGTAATTCTTCAGTTAGTCATATTCGATTGCAACAAGTTGCACCCTACTATGATGCTGTGTACCAAGCAAGTTTTCGAGAGGCTTGTTTTTTGGCAACTCAACTTATTCCATGTTGTATGAACAATGCACTTTTACTGGGTAGCAGTAAAGTATTTTTGCGATCGAGTACCTTGAGAAATTTATTGGAATTAGGAGATAAAGCAAAAATGGAAGCTTCTCAACGAATTGGACAGGTAGGACGTGGATATATTGAACGATGTTCCTTGGCAACTATTCGATTTTCTAAGTTACGTGAAAAACATCTCACTGCTATAAGAGAACGTATTGCGGAAGAGATGCCTAAACGAGAGATTTTAGAGATTGAGCGTGAATCTATGTTAATGAAATCTTGTGAGGGACGTGCAGAACTCTTGGCTTCTTTATCACGTCAAGCGATGAAATCATCTAAGCGTGTTGAGAAACAATGGAAAGAGTCAATGGAGTTAATGACATTAGAACTGCGAAAATCATTTGAAGAGGTATCTTCATATGAGACGGTACGTCTTCGAAAAGAAAAAGAAGTACGTAATGAGGCAGCAATGGAGAAGATGTACAAGGCGCAGGCGTGGGAGGCTGTGGAACGTGAGAGGAGACAACGACATCAAGAGGAAATGGCCAAGCGTCAAGTAAATAAAAACTCTACTGCTGTCATTCGCCGAAGTTGCGCCGATAATGATGCGGAGCGTGTGAAGGCGATACAGCGAGAGATCATACATGCCAGACAAGTGCAATTGCGGGCGGAGCAGGAAGTACTGCTGGAGCGGCGGCAGCGGGAAGTGCGGCTGCAGGAGCAGCGGGAAGCGAGAGAAGTACGGCAACATCTCGAGAAACAGCAGAGACGAATTGCGGAACGTGCGCGTCTAAGAGAAGAAATGGCTCAACGACACTCAAAAACAGGTTCCCTTCCCCGATCTGACCAATCCAGTTTCACGGTTTCTGGTGTAGAGAGAGGTACATCAGGAGATCCAGCAAGAGACCACGCATTTTGTGGGTTGGTGGTGTCCCCCTCGTCGAACATGAGCCGAACGGCTTCAACAAATTCTTTTCCCTTTGCAAATCAAAAAGAACGAAGATTAGGTATCGGAAAGGATAGTTGTGATCCAGAGGTGGAGTGGGCCATTCAAAAGGACATGATGGCACTATGGGAATCCCTACAAGATAGAACAACCAGTGTTTGATTAGAGAAGAATGATGAGGAGGAAGAAGAAGAAGTATTCAAGAGAATTTACTTCCATTCTTATTGGCGTTATTATTATTATTATTATTATTATTATTGCATTCCTGTTTTTTTTTTTTTTTTCTTTTTGTTGTTTACATTTCGTTAAGGAGATGAAAGCATCATTTGCACAAACTCTTCTGCTTTTTTTTTTTTTGATTCCAAGAAAAAGTATCCTCCAATATTTCTTTACCTTTTTTCTTTCAGTTATTGTGACCTTCTGTCATATCAACTACATTTATTATGTGAGGAGAGGGAAAGTAGAGGCAATATATAAATATTTGGAAATCCTAATATACTAGTAAAGCATTGCCTGTATCTTCTTCTTTGTTTTTTTTTTTTTTTNTTTTTTTTTTTTTTTTTCTTTGGCTTTCAAGGGGACCCACTCCATAGTTTAGTCTCTCTCTTTTTTTTTTTTAGTGTTAGTTGGGTTTTCGATTAAAGTAACTGAAAAGGAGGAGTGGACAAATATCTATATTATTCCGTTAGAGTGACACACATGCCCTCTTTTCTTTCTTCTTTCCTCCCGCTGCTGTTTGCGGCTTTTCTGGTTTCTTCGTCAAGAGCCGATATTACCACTTCTGCTGTTCTTGATGGCCAGGGCAGCAGCAGCAGCAGCAACAACAACAGCTGCGATCCTGTGGAGGGATATTACCTCCCTAACGGGGAGGACTATAGAGGTCATCTAAACATCACAGAAAGCGGCATTCCATGCCAGAAGTGGAGTGAACAGTATCCACATCCCCACGACACCACTGTGCCGGACCCCTTAACGGGGGTGGGGGATCACAACTACTGCAGAAATCCAAGCCGACTGGAGCGTCCAGGCTGCTTCACCACAGATCCATACGTACGATACCAATTCTGTTCTTTAGAGCCTCCGTGTAATTTTACACCTTCAGAGAGTGTACTACAGTTTGAGCCAAAGTCTGGTACACATCTTGGAGTAAATGAACCCATAACTATTACATGTTTTCCACGTCCTTGTAAAGTATATTATACTTTGGATGGGAAGGAACCTACTACCATATCAGCCACATTATATACTCGACCATTTGTTCTAGAGAAAAATACAACTGTGAGGGCTTTAGCTTTTTTTAATTCTCAAAAAACTTTATTGCGACAAGCTTTTTACTCAGTTCCACAGTCATTACCTACTCCAAATGTGTATTTCACTCCACCTTTTACTAAAATATATTATGAACCTGTTTTGGTTATGCTTAAAGGATACAAAAAGAATGATACCATACTTGTTTTTAGAAATAAAGAATTACGTGGATTTACCTATGAAGGTCCTTTTTGGTTAAATGTTAGTACAAATTTAACGGCTGTATTAAATGAAAAAAATATTGTGAAAGCTTTTTATAATATTCAGGCAACAGGAACACCTGTAGAAGTTTATCCTGTCTCTGGAAAGTACATTGGTGGTGTTTCTTGTTTTGTTTATCAATCAAACCCTCAAGCAAATTACACAATTTCTATAAATAATTCAATTTGGAAACCTCTTAAAAATTCTGTTTTTATTTTGGATAGTGTGGGAAATAATAGCGTAGCTGTGCGAGCTATTTATCTAGGTGGTGTTGTCTCCATTACTTGGCGAACCTACGAGATTATTGAGTCTACCTTACCTTTGTTAAATCCTTCGCCAGATGTAATCTACACTCATTCTATACGTGTAACATGTAATGATCCAATGGGACGATCATTAGCGGTAGATTTTAGTGAAGAAGAAGAACCAATTTATAGTGTTCGATTTGGTACACCTGGTAGTTTCTCTGTTAATTGCACATATATAGATAATCTTCATCAAATAAGAACAAGTACTGCAGTCTATAAACTTCACTCTGTTCCTTTACCTATGCCACTTTTACTACCAGACTGTGGTCGCGCTTTCCCTATGATACCTATTTTATTAAACGTAACTATTTTCCCACCTTTCGAATCAGATAATGATGAAGATTTATCAAGAATAACGCTCAATGCCACTGCAACAAAAGCTATTTTAAAAAAACTTTCAAGTGGTAACCTTTTTTCTCTTGAACCTACCCAACAACCTGCACTAATGAATGCAACTGTAACATTAATAACAAGTTCTTCTCATCCTTTAGAAGGTGATAGTTTGCCCAATGTCTGCAATTACGAATTTTTTCCTCTTGGAAGTTCATCGACTCCATCGTTTATAGGACGTCCTACTTGTAAAGATATGGTTAAATGTATTGATACTATAAAACAGGAAGTTTCCACTTGTTTATCATTTTACAGTACAGATCTTATTCATACCTTGATGGTAGGAGATTTTGTATTAATAAAACTCGTTCGTCTTCCTTATTCCTTACAAATGGAATATTATAATAGAACTAAAAATTGTCTTCTTGAAGCATCCCTACAAGATGTTATGGATGAAGCAAGTGGATTGATACAATTGGCACGTTGGTGGGAAGTAAATACATCATCATTATCCAATCTAGTGACAGGTGTAAGAATATCAATTTTAGTGGATGGGTGGAATTTAGATATGGTTCATCTTCATCTCGTACGTATGGAATACACATGCGAAGATATCGGTATTCATGAAGTAGATAGAAACAATACAGGACCCTATTCCCTTGTATTATTTTTCGTTATTGATACCCCTGGAGAATATAAATTATGTGCATCAGTGGATGATACTCTTTATACAGTACCATCTAATGGACCTCTTGTGGTAAATCCAGTACCATTTCCGCAATTAGTCTCAACACCATGTGGTGGTCGCTCAGAAGTTGGTGCCGTTTCAGTGGTAGCTGATGTGATTCCACGGGTTGTGTATCCACATATTTTTTTTTCTATCGATTCTGGTATATGGTATGAAACAGTGGCAGGTGCATTGTTACGTATCGCATATTTAACAACTACTAAATCCTCTGCTGTAGTATCTCTTACTGCAGGAAAATTTAGTGGTTCTTCTACTACTTGTGTATTTTATACTTCTAGTGTTGATGCATCTGTGAAGTTATCGTATAAATGGGCTGTAGTTTCTAGATATGAAGAGCAAAGTAACATTATATTTGTTGTAAATGGCACATTTTCCGAAGATGTTCGTATCGAGTTTCGTGTTTATTTACCGAAACAAAATAAAACTAATACTTTTTCACTTACAACCAGTAATGTTGTTTCTTCTTATGATTTTTTGAATGATGAACCTATTTTTACAAGTTTGGGAACTACTATGGATTCGTTTGCCGTGATTGATCAATTGTTTCACTTTGTTACTAGTGAGGAAGAATATCCACTTTCTATAGTAGTTACAGTGGATGGCATTTCAGTAAATGCGGATCCGTTATTAATAGCTTTATCACCATTAGCTGCCGCAATGTATTCTTGTAATAATTGTACCAGTGGATGGTGTTTCCGTGATCGTTGCGTATGTATTGGTGAAGTTAATCATACAGCACATTTTTGTACGGACGTGCCTAAACCACCTGTTTCACCTTCCTCTGGAACTTCACATTTTCTATTCCTTTGTGCGTTTTTACTCTTGGTGGGAGGATGCATTTTGTTTATAGTGATAATTGTCAGACGTGGAACAGCAAGAAAAGGTAAGATACAAGGAACTGATATAACTATTGAAGCACCATAGTAGACTAGTTTTATCTTCACAAGAAGAAAAACCAAGTTTATTTACCATTATTTTTAGGACCTATAAAGGGTAGATAATATGAGGAGGTGCGGTGGACGAAAAAAAAAAAAAAAAAAAGAAAAAAAAACAGAAAAAAAAAAGAAAATAAAAGGGGAACCTTATATATAGATATAACATTTGATTCCTATTCATTTATCTATTTATCTTTTTATTTTTATTTTCCTTTTTCTCCTTTTCTCTGTTTTATTCCCTGATTTTTAATCTAGCATAACAAACTCAGAAATGGTCTTTCGACAATTTCGAAATGGTCCGAGCCGGCGGTTTATACTAGTGGCACTACTTTTTGTTTTTTACTTATTTACCATGGCGTTTGTAATTTTTTCTAAAGATGACAATAAAAATAATCGTCCTAAGGACGATGTCAAGGAGAACAAACATGTTGTTGTAGACCAAAAGGCTGAACAACAGAAAAGTGTTGGACAGAATGATTGCAGTCGCTGCCCTTCAGACCCGTTCGTTACAGGTGATGGGTTTCGTGCCTCTTGTCAGCTTATATTTGATGACACAGTAAGTGCAGAAGCACAGAAGAATTTTTTGGAAGTTATTCTCCGTACTGTGGAGACAAAGCGGATAGAAGAAGGACTCAGTTCCTCTCCAGAAGTGCCAATAATGATATCTGTGTTTGTACAACCTCATTGTGTGGAGAAGTTCATTGAATACTGTCTTAAACGCGTTGAACGCTCAGATTCAGGGTGGAAACTCCTTTTGGTTTCTCATAATAGTGACGTATCAATTCCCTATAATAAGAATAATTTAGTGAATAAAAATGATGATCACAACTACGAGAATCAGATTTACTGGGTTCTTGATAACCCGCGAGTGGCGGTGTGGTACGCCACCAACACTGCGATTGAACACCCAAAATTGTGGACTATACCCATAGGTATTGAAAATCGCTATAATGCATATGGTAAACACGTACGAGTATATCGGGAAGCATATCATAATATTCGTACAAGGAATAGGACACGAGATGAGGATAATAAAAGAAAATTGTTATTGATTGCTTTTAGTATATCAACTTTCAGAAAATATCGTTCAGAGGTTCTTCGAGTAACTACAAAAGCTTTTGAGGAGTACTCAGCAAATATCACACTTGTGGGAAAGAAAAAAAAAGGAGGAGCTGTCACTGCGAAATATGTCCGATCATATCTTAATTTGTTAACCCAACATAAATTTGTGCTTGCACCACGTGGAAATGGTATGGACACACACCGTCTTTGGGAAACCCTCTATATGGGGAGTGTTCCCATTGTACAACGTTCTACATTGGATTCACGTCTGCTCTCTGCACTTCCTATACTCCTCGTTGACAATTTTTCCGAGGTGACACCTTCTTTACTGACTTCGCCAGAAGCCTTGGCGCTAACTGCACCAGAGAGATTCAAAGCTGTTGACGATAATTTTCTTTCAATGGCATACTGGCGTCAGATTATAACGCCTAACAGAACCCGAAATTAATGAGTTTTGTTCATATTGTAGTTTGTGCGAATAGGGAAGTTAAGAAATTGGACTTGCGGACTACCTAAATTACAATTATTGTTGCGTGTATTTATCAAGAACGTTTTTTCTTGTTTTTTGTTTTTACTGGGATATTATTTTATTTATTTTTTTATTTTTTATTTTTTATTTTTTTTTTTTTTATGATCGTGTGAAAAGAATATGTATCCGGTTTTTGGTCTACAACAGTGTTAAGGTTTTGAGGGGTTATATGATCTTCTTCTTTCTTTAGGTTTTATTGTAGTCAAAGGGAGAGACTGGCTGAATAATTAGAAAAGGATTTAAGATTTGGTTTTTTTTTTCTTTGCTCTCCCACTCACCCCCTCCCTCCCTCTACGCGGAGGGGTCTGGAGAGGAAGGGAGTCTGGAATCTGCCACTTCGTAAGTCCTACCGGGTGATTCTCCTGGTGGAAAAGAGAATTTGATATTTAATACTTCGCTTTTACGTGTCCTGTTATGATACGATAGTGTTAAAAGTATTAGGAACTTTATAAAATTATTTGTTTCTTTGTTTGTTTTTGTTTATTCGTTTTAAGGGTTTGACCGAAATAGGAAGAATATTCTGTATTTGTTTTTGTAAAGAGAGAGGAGGTTTTTTTTTTTTTTTGTTTTTGTTTTTTTTTTTTCTTTTTTTTTTTATTTATTCCCTCCTATCAACACACCCGCCTCTCCATTTTTTTTTTTTTTTTATTGACTTGTTTTTTGTGTAATTTTTTTTTTTTTTTGTTTTTGGTTAGTGTACACACTTATTACAGGGTGTGAAGGAGATTTCTACAAACAAAAAAAAATATATATATAAAAGGAGAGAGACTGTCATTGTTTGTGAAACGTAATCCAGTTCTCTACTGGAGTGCGATTGTTACGTATATATTTGTATTTTTTTTTTACCTATATATTCTGTTCTAATTCTGGGATGGAAAGATCTTCTGCTGATGTACGACGAGTTTGGGGTACATCGCATAGAAATCGTCGTTTGGTGCATCGAATCATGTGGATAATTGTTTGGTGTGTGGGAGTAGTAACAGTGAGCAAAATGCATCTTGATTCTGTTAAGATGTATATAATTATCTCTACACTTTTGCTTATATTTGTTTCACTTGGGCGAATGCGTAAGAAACGAGTAGTGAATGCTCATGATGTTCCTAGTCCTAGGGTGGTGGATGAGGTTCCAAGGAACATCAGTAGGGATGAAACTCCTACTGCAACCCAACTTCCTATTTCTTCTGTGCGGAGAGAGTGTGCTGTTTTCACAGCATTAAGGAATATTGGTACCCCGCAAGCTCTTCGAGCTGTTCGGGATAAAGAATTTCAAGATCTTATTCTTCATACACCACCCGATTCTATACAGTGCTGCTGTGGAAGTGGAACACGTTTTGCTCGATGTTGCCGCGTTATTCAGGATGCGTTGCATCAATGTGAATTGTAGGCCAAACAACAACAACAAAAAAAAAAATTAATAATTTTTTTTTGTTTTGATATTCTATGCTGTACTTGTATTCAAATGAGTAATATGCTATCACCTATTTTTATTTTCATGTTGCCAGTATTTTACTTTTCCTTCATACTAATAAAAAGAAAATATTCTTATATTTGCTTAATTCTCTCTCACTTTTATGCCTTTTATTATTTTTTTTTTCGATTCTTCCCCTTCCCTCTTTATTCTGTATATATGCCTCTGCAAAGGATACTTGCGGGGATGGCACCGCGGTTCCTTCGCTCCCCGAAATTTTTATCTAGTCGTGCAGTTGTGCACTCAAACCGCTCGCTGGTGCTGCTGCCGTTTTTCACGTTGGTTGTCATGACAGTTGTGGTGATAATGCTCTTCCCGCTGCTGGCGCTGCTGAACTCCAATTACATGATGGAGGCCGATAGGGCGGAGTTGCCTGCCGTCGTGCTGCCGCCCTGCGCCGCGGCGTATTTCCGCGCGAATTACGAGCGATCGCTGCGGGAGACGCCGGCGGATGAACGCCACGCGGCGCATCTTCGCCACATCGGCGTCGATCACGTGTACGTTGTGCACTACACGCCGTTGCGCTACCGCCGCGGCAACATGACCGCCATGCTGCGGGCCCACGGTGTGCATGCGGAGTGGGTTCTCGGATTTGACAAGGAGGAACTCAACACTAGCACCGATAGCTGTTTCCACTACTATGACCCACAACAACTCACCGGCCCAAAGGCCCGACGATACAACACTCGTGGCCTCTTTCCCCGACCTCTTGGGCCAGCGCAGCGTAGCGTGTTAATCAAACATTTTAGCGCATATTACGATGCTTACCAACATAATTATCAAACAATACTTGTTTTAGAAGATGACGCCCTACTACGTTTAGGATTTGTCAAACGTCTAGATGAAGTTTTACGCACCACTCCATCAGGGTATGATGCTATTTTTATTGGAGGTTGCATGCGATTTTACGCATGGCGAAGAAAGACGCAAACTGAGTATATTACCAAACATATTTACCGCAAACAGGCATCACGTTGTGCTCATGCTTTCATTCTATCCCAAGCTGGGGTACGGAAATTACTGCGATCCTTACCACTCACAGAAGCCATTGATTTTCAGATGAATGTTGCGATGCGAGAGGAAAACATGACGGTATATTGGGTAGAACCGTGGTTGTCTGTACAAGGACAATTTGGCGAACCCACATGTGTTACAAAGACTGATATAAAAAATGCGGGTTCTTGTCGTTTTTCAACACAGCAACGTTACAGTCGTTCATTTGATTTGCGTTACCTAAATGAGACCGAGGTGTTAGAGCGGTGGGAAAATGTTCCACCATTTCGACATCATCGATGAGATTAATTACTATCGATATGATTATCCGCTCTTTTCTTTTCATTCAATTCGTCTGATCCTATCTGTGGCTCTTTGACCATTTTTTTTTGTTTTGTTTTGATTTCGTTATTTCAAAAACAGTGTACTTTACATTCTCTACATGTGTTTATTCCTTGCGTGTGTGTGTGTGTGTGGGTGTTAGCTTTCTTGTCCTTCTTTTCCATTTCTGATGACAATGCTACTGCCACTGTATGAGGTGGGTTTCGCGAATGATATGGGTAAAGAAGTGTTTTAGTTTTTTTTTTTTTTGCTTTTCTTTTTGTTGTTGTTCTTGTTTTTTATCATTGTGTGTTTGCTTGTTTGATTTTTTTTTTTTTTTCTCTTGAAGAAGCAAGAGAAAGAGGCAGTCTAATGACGCTACAAACTGAAAGATCATCATCGTTACTTTTTTTTTTGCGTTTATTGCTAATATCCATGAATCTCTCCTTCTGTATTTTATTTTTCTTTATTTTTCCTTCTTCATCTCTTTTTTTCTTTTTTTTTTTTTGAATTTTGAATTTCACAGTTTTCCCGGCGATTGTGTTTCTTGCAGCGGCAGATGCTCCTGCGCAGCACGGCGCGGCTGAACAGCCTTCACAGTCGCCGCCGCTGGGAACAGCGCATTGCGTCGGTACTCTCGCAGCAGGACGGGGCGAAGGTGGACGCCGTCGCCCAGCGCTTCACACGCATCTACGCAGACCGCCGCTACACACCTGTTGAGGAGGCCTTCCCGCTCCGAGACACAGCCCGGTGGGCAGGTCTTCCAAACACAGATACCGCTCCTGCAACAAGCAGTGTTTCACAACCAGCTAACGCTCACATACTGAAGGTGGCGTTGCTTGGACCTCAAAACTCTGGCAAAACATCTTTACTTAATGCTCTTTCTTTGAGTCATATTGGTGCTGTGTGTAATCGCAGTGGCAGTACAAAAGACTGGATTAAAGGTGTGGCTACTGTTCATAATACACAACTGGTAATGCTTGATACCCCAGGTGTTGTGATTGTGAATGGTGAAAAGGATCGTCGAAGACATGCCGCACCTTCTGCACGAGCCTGGGATGCTCTAATGGTAACAGACGTTGTGCTTCTCACAATTCCTGCTGGTCTTGGTTTTGTTGAACCTGAGCAAAAGAGAATTGCCCGAGAAGTAGTACATCGTGCTTCACTTAGAAAAATGCCTGTTATACTGGTTATAACCATGATGGATAAGGTACAGACTCCTAAACATCGTGAACTCTATTTTTCAATGCGTACCGATTTTGAATCTTTGTCTTTACCGATTGCAGCATCTCATGAAACAAGTGTTAAGGGTGGTACAGGGCTTGTAGAACTAAAAGATTTTCTTTGCAGATATGCCTCACCAGGTGATTGGGAATGCTTTCGACATGAATCAACAGATATTGCTCCTGTAGATCGTGTTACAGAACTTTTAAGACAGTGTTTTTTTGAAGTTTTACCTCATGAAGTTCCACATCAAATGCGTCATCGTATTATTGGATGGACACGGAAAGATTCTGGTACAACGGAAGTCATTACAGAAGTTTTTTTTGATAGACCTTCCTATATGTTTACCTTCTACGCTAAATTAGAGGCAATATGCTATCGTGCTCAGCGTATTGTAGAACGTGAATTAAAAGGACGGTATAGGTTTGTTTTCCAAGCTTTTATTGCTCCAGGAGGTATTTCATCCCGATAAATGTTTTGAATGAACATTTGAATTGATTCTAAGATTGCATCCCAACGGAAGAAATTCAAAGATGTTGCTTACGCTTTTCATTTGAAAAAAATCTTTATCTTCACCCCCCCCCCCCATTAGTACGATTAAAGGGGCTGAAGAGAGGCAGAGGGAGAGGGACGTCGAAAGTTTGTTTGTGTATCTCTGCCTGTCTGAATATATATATATATATATATATATTTATATATGTTTTAAATATTTTCTTTCCTTCGTTTTGCTTTTCAGCATTCAGCTGAACTGTGAGTGTTTCTATTTCCATGCCTGATTTCTTCTCTCTTTGTTTTTTTTTTTTTTTCTTCTTTGCTCTCGAGTTACGTTCCTCTAACGCAAGGTGTGAGTAAGCGATAGCTTCTGACCATGCCTGCATGCACGCACCCCGCCTCTGCGCAGTACTGCGATCGCACGCGTGGGACGATCACGTGCACACTGTGTGGCGACATTGTGCAGGACCAGCAGTTTGAATTGGACCCCGTCTTTGGCCGCGGCGAGAAGGCGGCCCCCCGCGGTCTGCGGAATCTCGGGCACCTGCGACCCACGCGCGGGACGATTGGCGCGCGAATGCCGGGCCCCCGGCCGTCTGTTGAGGCGGCCCGACGGGGAATGGTGGCGATTGCACGGCAGCTCGACATCAGCGACGACATGGTAGAAATGGCGGTGGCTGTATACAAACTGGCGGTAGGGATTAATGCCGTTTCTGGCGCGAAACCTGCTATTCTTTGCGCCGCTCTTTACGCTGTTTGCAGACGTGAGCGAACTTCACATATGATATACGACTTTGCAGAGGCAACAAATGAGAGTCCATATGAGATTCTTTCTTACATGCGTCAGATTTGCGAAGCCACACACACAGAAATTCCTGTTATTGATCCTTCTTGTATGGTACACCGTTTTGCTGAACAGATGAATCTTGGACCAGCAACAGGGGCTGTTGTGGTGTGTGCACTGAAGGTACTGCGGGCTATGCAAGATGACTGGATTGCTTGTGGTAGACGTCCCATGGGAGTTTGTGTAGCTGCTCTTCTTGTTGCGTGCTACATGTTTAATATCCCACGAACACCAGATGAGGTTTGTGGTTTCGTTCGTCTTACTGCTGGAACAGTTGCAAAACGTGTAGATGAATTTGCAGCTACTACAACTGCCATGTTAGAAAGTATTGATGATTATAAAAAAGATGATAATTCTCTTCCACCATCATTTAATAACTCTTGTTTGCGTCCCACTGATGAAGATTTGAGCGCAGAAATGCGTAAATTGGCGTCTACTTATTATGAGCTCGTAGCAGAGGCTAAAGTCTCCACACCTGCGACCCCGGAACGTTGTAAGAAGTGGCGCCTCTTTCTTCAACGTCACTGTGAATTAGAGAACACAACACCAACAGAAGAGAACATGGATCTTGAAAAACTTTCTCCTCAACAGCAACTGCAGATACTTGGTCTTCCAAATACGAAGCCCTTGGATCCGGAAACAGTACGAGAGAGTGTGAGACGAGAAGAGGTAAAGATTCTTGTGAAACGAGAACGTAGTGATTCCGAAGTTGCAACTCAAAATATGGGAGGAATTATGGATATTGGTCCACCAACACAGATGGATCTTTCAGAAGATCAAATGACGACATATTATCGGAAGCTCATGACACAAGATCCCAATGTTTTAGGTATTCGCCGAGATTTTGACTTTGAAGAAGATGATAATGATCCTGATCCAACTTCACCTACTGCATTATCTGCTACTGGTGCTGGTGCTCCATCTTCTTCAAGTATTGCGGGTGCAGACAATGACACCATACGTAGTTCTCTTGCGGATGTACTCTATGATAGCGAAAGACGTCTCGCTCTTCCTTGGGAGTTTATAGTCTTGCAAGATCCGTCGCTGGATGATAGTAGTGATCTCAATTCTTACTTGGTACTTGATAATGAAGAGCGACTGCGACGCCAAAAAGTAGGGGAAGCACTTTACGGTGAGAACTGGAATCTTGGTAAGGCGCGTACAAGGGAAGAGATTGAAAGGCTTGAGGGCTCGAGATCTACACGAAAACGTCATCGTGAACCAATTAAAGAGCATGCAACGGTTCAAGATGCACTCACACGAGCACTAAAAGGTCGTGGAGCTGGCACTGTAAATATCTCGCAAATAGATGAATTAGTTCCTGGGTTACTAAGTGATGTAGATGGCGGAACGGAAGTAGAATGGCTAAACGAATAAAAAAAAAAATTTTTTTTTTTTAATGGCCATAGCTCTATTAATATGTCTTGTTGATTTTTCCTGCGATAAACTATATATATATATATATATATATATATATATATATATGAGAGAAGAAGAAGACATGAAAAAGAAATGAAAGAGATAGAGTGAGAAGGAGGGTAACTGCTTCTGTATGGTTTTGTTCTTGTTTACATGTTGTTTTCTTCTTTGGTTACCTTCTGGTTTTTGCTCTCTTGTTAATATTTTCTCTTCATTTTCTTTTTTTTTCCCTGTGTATGTGTGTTTGTTTGTGGGATGAGGAAGTGTCGCGGTTTGAGAGAAGAAGCAAGGAAGTAGTGCTTGATTTATCTGTCTCTCTCTCTCTTTCTCTCTCTCTCTGAGTGTCTGTGTGTGTGTTTGTGTCTGTTTCTCTCTCTGTGAAGCGCACACATGGAAGGAAAGAACTGTTTCAGGAGAAAGTGGTCACAGATCCCACTGTATAGCGGTGGGAACATCGCCTCGCTGCTGCTGCCTTCTTTACCCACAGCCACTTCTTCGTACTCTTCTTCAACTTCACCGAAAAGAGAAGAGTGTCTTGTAACAGCGTGTGGTGACACTGTGAATGTCCTCTTGGCAAACACCGGCGATTTACTTGCGTCATATACGCTTCCCGTAGAGGATGTTATTCTTCGTATTGATGCCGTTACTGTCGCACCAACAGAAACCTCCAGTATTGATGTTACCACTACTAGTGGTAGAAAAAGTGGCGAAAATACCAACGCTAATATGAAAAAGAATAATAACAAGAATGGTAAGAAGACTAAGAAGGAAGTTGAAGAACCACCAGCTGAAATTGAGAACAAGTCGAAAGTTCCTCATGGAAGTTATATTGCTGTGGGTACGCGTGCTCTACAGATATATGTCCTTCGACTAGATCGCATTATTGGAGAAAAGGAAAATGTAGATGATAAGGATAATAATGAGGAGAATATTAAAGAACTGACATCGTTTTCAGATTCTAATGCTGCTGATAGTGATGGTTATTCGTGTATTTTAACTCCACTACGTAGCTGGACGGCGTCACAACAAGCTATTTCAGTCGTTCAGTTCACTTTTGATGGTCGTTTTCTTGTTTCTGGTTCAACAGATGGAGGAGTAAAAGTATGGGATATCTTTAATCATCATCTTACACATAATTTACGTCTTCCATCTTCTAGTCTTGTACACTCTATTTATGTGGACCCTGCAGAAAAATATCTTTGTGTTGGGAGTTTTGAAGGTCATGTCGCAGTCTTTGATTTTATTTCCAAAACAATCATCGCTTTTGGTCGTCCCCATGTTTCAGCAGTTGAAGCTTTAACTCTAACACCTGATAATGAATACCTGTTTTCTATCGCGCGTGACCGAAAACTTGCCATTTGCACACTTTCTTCATCGGAATTGAAACAAGTACGCAGTGTTGTTGTGAGAGAGCATGTTTCAAGTGCTATATTTGAGTCACCATTTCGTCTACATATTGGTGCAATGGACGGAACAGTATCTACATACAGTGCAAGTGTTACGGAATCTCTTCGACTCGTGCGTAGACTACAGCGATCTTCTTCTAATACGACTACTTCTACTGATAATGATGATACTTTCAGTGAAGAGTTGACTGTTCGAAGCTTATTGCTCGCACACAGTCCTAAAGGAACACATGAAGAAGATCTTTTGCATGGTCTATTGGATGATGACAGTCGTGCATCACTTTACGCTGCAGATGCTGCCTTTAACATTGCCCTCCTTATTCCCGACGAGGAGACCAATAGGTACAATTCAACTACAACATTAGTAGGTTTCCTAGACCAGGTTCTGGATGTTAAGGTATTTCCACCTGAATTTCCATTTCAACGGGTTGTTGTTACGAACAGTAAAGAGGTTCGATGTTACAACTCTAGTGGTTGTCTTTCCCCAAAGACACTTCATGGACATGGTGATATTGTTTTGACATGTGCCATATCCGCAGATGCTTCTTTGATTGCTACAGCAGGAAAAGAATCTGAAATTCGGTTTTGGTCCACTACTACTTGGGATACTATTGCAATTGGTCAAGGTGGTCATACTGCTGATATTACTTCTATCGCTTTCAATACAAAACAATCTGAAAGCTATATGTTACTTTTCTCTGTCAGTTCTGATGAGAATTTACGACTCTGGGATGTTGGAATGCATGTTATTCCTAATTTATTAACATCATCAACATCTTCAACTCCTGTTATTTTTACACATCGTTCTGGTATAAATGCTGCTCATGAAGGAATTATTTATACGATGGCTGTGGCCCCTAATGATCAGTATGTGGCAACTGCTGGAAAGGATAAAAATATTAATTTGTGGACCATTACAGGTAAAAAAATTTACCGAGATGCATCATTAAAAGGACATCGTCGTGCTGTATCATCACTTGCCTTTTCTCCAGCCGATCGAGTATTAGCCTCAGCTTCTAATGATGGGAGTGTTCGTTTATGGTCCCTTGTCTCGTTAACTTGTGTGAAGACGCTTCAGGTGGATCGTACTCCAGTGTTGCAAGTGGCTTTCTTTAACGCTGGTACACAACTTGTAACAGGTAATGCAGAAGGTGTTCTTCGTGTTTGGGCTATTGGAGCATCGGAAGCCGTTTGGTCGGGTGAAACACATGATGATAAGATCTGGGCCTTATCGGTTGTGGAGAAAGATGATGCTTCTGTCGTTTTTCTCTCTGGTTCTGCCGATGGAGTGCTGGTGGCCACAGAAGACTACACCGCTGAGGAGGCTGATCGTGTGCGTAACGAACGGCATGAAATGATTCTTAAGGAACAGGAACTGGCTAATGCGATGCGTAAAGGTCAATATACAGAGGCCTTTCTGCTTGCACTCCGTCTGAATCATCCACGTAATCTGCGACAAGTTATTGTGCGTTGGTCGGTGAAAGATCCACAGGAGTGTGAAACGTCACTGCGCCAGACTATTCTTCCTTCCCTTAATGAAGAGCAATTATTGCGGCTTCTTCAATTTACACGGGAGTGGATCACTAACGCACGTCACTCCGGTGTCGCGAGTCTTGTCATGCACTGCGTGTTGGCAGCACATCACTTTACAACGTTAGCATCTATGCCGGCAATTCGAACTATTCTCGAGGCGCTGTTAGCGTACATGCAACGTCACAGTCAGCGCCTTCATGAGACATTGCGACGAACGTATTATATTGACTACGTTACACGATCGCTTGGACCAGCAACACTTACAAGTAAACCGCCATTTATTCCTGCATCTGAATCTCTCTCTGTTGTTAACGCAGCTACCACAACTATGGATAGTACTACTACTACTACTACTACTACTACTAATAGTAATAGTAGTAGTAGCACCACAGCACGTGAAGCAGGAACGAAGAGACCGCGCGTCGAGGTTGCTTGAAACCCCCTATATGAGAAGAACAAAAAAAATGTGGAGAAAAAGAAAAATTGACGTAATGGAGGAAAAGAAAAAAAAAGAGGAAAGACAAACAAAGAATACGAGAAATACATCGTTTAAACAAGAAAAGAGTAACAAACAAAAAAAAAAAAAGAGAGAGAGAGAGAAAGAACACTATAAAGGTGTGAAATAAGCACGAGTTAAGACATCCATCGCCATTTTTTATTTTTGAAGTATGGATACCCTTTTTATTTTTCCATTATTCCCTATCTTCTGATCATTATGTTTGTTTATTTATTATTTAACGAAATTAAAAAAGAAAAAAAAAATGAACATTACTTCTTGGGTTAATTTTACTTTTTTTTCTTTTTCTTTTTTTTTCCATTTCTTTATTTGTATCTCCTTTAATGTATTTCCTCTTATCGTATGACAAAGTCTTGAATACTTTAGTGTGTTCTTTTTGTAGCATCCGAGTGCAGGGGTCATAGGTGAGGGTGAGTTGTTTCTTGTTTCTTGTGCGATGGATGCATATACTTCTCTGAGTAATCGTGTGGCCTCGCTGGAGGAACTCCTCCGCCGGAGTGAGGCGGGCATGGCGGTCTTCTTGCAGCGCGTAAAGGCGCTGGAGGAGTACGTGTCGGCGAGTGAGGCACGAAATCGCGGGGAGGGCGCCGCCCGCACAGACGCCCTCGCCGTGCGGCTCGAAAGAGGATTGGAGACTCAGAACGCCAGGGCAGAGGCTCTGCAGAACACAGCACAGCAACAGGCGGCAGCTGTGCAGAAACTTGAAGAACGTCTCAGCGGTTTTGTAAGGGCTATTGAACAGAAAGTCAACAGTGATGTTAGTGCATGCATTCAGCGGATTCAAACATTAGAGACTTCTTTGGTGGCCGCCGTGCGAAATGTAGAATCAAATGTACAGACGCAATCTTCTGCACTAAAGTCTGTTGAACAGCTCATGCGAGGTGATTTACAATCTTTCCAGCAGAGAGTAAGTGGGGAGTTTGTCGCTGCTCGTCAACATGTTGAAAATATTGAAAACGATCTTCGAAAGATTTTAGGTGAAACACAAAAATCAGTGATTGGTGAATTAAAGAATATCAACGAAAATTTAATAAATAGAATTCAATCCAATACAGAGGCGATGAATACTTCACTTGTAGGCTTGGATCAAAAGGTACATGCTGATATAAAAACTGTACAGGAGTTATTAGCACATGAGATTAATGTGAATCGACAAAGTATAACTGCACAGGATGCAGGTATGCGAGATGCAATGCAGGCTTTACACGGAACTTTGGCCAGTGATATTACTAATTTATCTTCACGTATGCAAACGTTGGATGCAGCAAACCAGGTATCTCATCAGCAGATGCTTGCTGAAATGTCTTCACAGCGACAACAGATAGAGATGGTAGACTCAAATTGGCGTTCCAGTCTTACAGATTTTAATAGTAAAGTACAGGAAGGTTTCCAAAATCTACGATCATTACAGGGAGCTATGGAGGTTGCACTTCAACAAAGAATATCACTAACTACTACAGAAATAGAGAAGTTATCAGGGGAACTGCGTCGCGCCACAGATAATTTGTCACAAATGATACAAGTTAAATATAGTTTATTGGATAGTCTGCGTGATGATATACTGTCTAGCAAAAATACAGTTTTGGTTTTGAGGGATGAGTACAAACGTTTACGTGAAGATTTTAGAGGTATCTCAGTGTTTGCGGAGCGTAGTGCAACACAATTAAGATCGGTGATGGAAGCAGCCGTTAGAGCTTCACATGGTGATTTACTGGAAAGAATTAAACCATTAACTGGTTTCCGTTCAGAGATGCATAGTTCTATTACTGCTGCACTTAACAAATTGTGGAGTGAAGCGAATGCCACTTTTATTTCTCAACAAGAAATTCAAATGATGCAAAGTCAAATTCAAGTATTAGATAATGCTGTGCGTAATGAAGTAGCATTATTAGCCGATAAAAGAAGAGATATGGATCGCCAAACTGTGGAGCAAAAACCTGATATTTCTATAGAAAGTCGTCCAGTTTTAAGTGGTGAACATGGCGCCCTTGTACAAGTGCCTCTTGCAGGAGAATTAAATAATGTCTGGGTAGAACTTCGAAGCCTTCAGCAAAGACTTGGTATGCCTCGGGAGGAGGTCCTTAGAATTGTGGATGATCTTCGTACCCATGTTCTTGATGCCGCAGTAGAAACGGCCAAAAAGAGTGAAGATGAGTTGCGCAGAATTCTTCTAAGGATACAGGATGACGTCCGTGAAATGATGTCACAGCCCGTCAAACATAGTAGTAGTAGTGGTGGTACTGGTAAAGGAAAGAAGACCGTTGTGCGTGTGATAAACTCAGATGCTTTGCGCTCAGCGTATCCAAATGAACTGCCTCCAGTCATAAAGGACAAGAAGAAAATTCCACCCCAGCAGATGTTACAATCCAAACCACAGAAGAGTTTCGACTCTCCTCATCGTCCTACATCCTCTGCTGTATCAACAAATGGTCTAACGCCCAACAGTGCTGTTAAGGCCGCTAGTCGCCTTCCACCACTTGCACACGTGGCACCAGCCCCAACAACAACAACCCCACTAACAACAACAACTCCAACAACAACAACAACTCCAACAACAACAACAACAATTCAAACGCCATCAAGAGAATTCTCATCTTGAGACCTTGGTTTCTATAGATCAATAAAAGGCATGAATTTTTCTTCTCTTTGTATGCTTGTTTGTGTTTTACTGTTGTAGTTGTTTTCTTCGTCTTGAGATACATGCATCTGTACGAATTTTTCTCATAGATATATTAAATAGAGGGGAAGGGGAATCATGATAAGTATTGTAGTGTTTGAGCGTAATTTGATTGTAGCGTCATCACGTTTTTTTTTTTTTTTTTTTTTTTTTTTTTTTTTTTTTTTTTTTTTTTTTTTTTTTTTTTTTTTTTTTTGCACAGTTCGTGGTTCACAGGTAATTGCTATGTGTTATGTGCTCTATAAAGAGCTGTAGTGGAATACTTGAGTACGTCCATATGAACAATGAGAAAAAGAAAAGACCCCCCTTTTTTCTCTCTTTTTTTTTATTTTTCTCCGTCTATTTGAAGTGACTCATTCTCTGTTATTCCAGTTTCTTTCTATTTCCCTACTATTGTTCTTTTTTCATATCTGTAGAGGCCCTTGTATCAGTATATATATACGTATGTTTTTTTTTTTCCTTTTCCGTTGTCTTTTTTTTTTTCTTGTATTTTGTTTAGCCAGCAAAAAAAAAAAAAGAAGAATAACGGTATTACGTGTAATCTGCAAGACAAACATACGTCTTTCTTCTTCATAATGGGGCGAAACAAGAAAAATAAGTCATCAGCACTACATGCGGCTGAAAAGGAAGAGGTAGAAGAAGAAGAAGAAGTGCTCTCCGACGCAGAAGTATCGCAGGAGGCTCCAGCTAATGACCCCGCTAGCAATCACTCTGACAGCGAGTCCAGTGTGGAGGAGAAGAAAAAGAAAAAAGTGTATCACGGGAATAAGCTCAAGCGAAATGCCGGTGGAAAAGGAAAGGAGACACAAGAACACCCTTCAGCATCTCCACAGGAGCGAAAAGAAGAAGGGGGAAAAAGCAGTGGTGTGGAGTTGGGCGCGGGTACTGAATCAGTAGATGAGGATGCCGCACTGCAGGAGGAGAAGGATGAAGAGGCCGCTTTGCAGCACGGACCTGTGGATGTTCTTTACTGCCCCATCTGTACTTTTCCTGCGGAAATGTGTGAGTTCAGTGGGATGTATGAACAGTGCCGACCGTGGCTTCTTGAGCACGCGAAAGAACTCGCAGAGGCGGAGGAGAGAGGTCGCAAACGTCGTGCCTTGACAGAGAAGGAACGGCTGGAGCGACTTGTTCAAGGACGTGGAACAAAGAAAGCAATTGAGCGTATTGTTCTTATTGAAGTGTCTCAGCGTAAAGGACGTAAAATGACCACCTCAGTGAAGGGCATGGATCTATTTGGGTTTAATTTGAAGGACCTCTCGCGGGAGTGGAAAAAGTCCTTTTCCTGCGGTGCTGGTGTGACAACATCAGAGGAGTCGAAGCAGAACTCCGTTGATATTCAGGGTAACGTGGCTGCTCAACTCATTGAGTTACTTCCAGAGCGCTATAATATTCCAAAGGACGCTATCTACCAGATGGAAGATAAAAAGAAGAAAAAGTGCTATGATGCTGCATAGTGCCAAATGGATTGTTGATGAGTGAGTCTGTGGGAATAAGAAAAAGAATAGGGAGTTGAAAGAACGTCGTGTAAAGTAATATTACTTCAGTTGCACCATCTTTTCTTTTTTCTCTTTCTTTTTTTTTTTCTTTGTTCTTTTAAATTCTTTTTTTTTTTCTTTCTGTATTTATTGGAAACCAATTTCTATTTGTTTGTTTGTTTTTTATTTGACACTATTGGGTTCTTTTTTGATGTTCTTTTTTTTTTTTCTTTTTATGATATAGCTGATAGCGTTTCATTATAATTTATATATATATTTACTACACGTTTTGTTTCCTTTTCTATAATATAAATTTCTTTTACCTCTCCTCTTCGAAAGAAGTTAACTAGAGAGACAGTAAAGAAGTATAAATAGAGGACGTTTTATTATTATTACGAGTTACATGCCGCTTAATTTCATAAAACGTCTTATTCTATCTGCCGTTGTGACAGAAGGGGCGAAGTCACCGCTCATTCAGCGTGTCGCTCAGAAGACGGCGCGGATGGAGCGTGATGCACCAGAAAAGATTGGTATGTGGGCACGTGCCACTTATGTGGAGGCGAAGAAAGATGTAGAAAAACTCTGGGCCAAACTGCAGGGAGGTGAAGAAGTTAGTGCAGAAAAGAAGCGGATTGATGATTCTTCTAATCAAAAGAAGTGATAAACATAAAGGAAGATTTTATTTGTTTCTCTCTTTTGATTTCTCTTTTATGGAGTATTCTTTGTTGTTATTGTATGTCTATGTGTATGTTTGTGTGTAGAGGTGGGTAATGATTTTGGAGTGAGGGAAGAATTCTTAGTATTTCTTCCATTGTTATGCAAAGAGAGAAAAAAATGAACAATTCATTTGATTTGAGTGTTTTTAGCCATTTTTTTTTTTTTTCACTTTTTGCGTCTAAAAGTGAACATGATCTATTGACTGATTTCATTTCTTCTAAACATTTTTTCCTGCATTCTACTTGGGGAAAAACAAGAGAAAGCAAAAGTATAGTACAGTATTATTTACAGTTGTAGGGTTGTAACCCGGCAATGAGCACTGTGCAGGAGTATGCCCATCTCATTACCGCATCGTCCAACAACAGTGACGTTGCAAAATTAGCGGAAGATGCGCTCAAAGCGCCACACATTTTCTTCTTCGCGTCACTACTGCGGCTACCTGCGCTGCAGGCACTACGCAGTGATGCGGCCCACGCATGGATTGTGCAGGTGATGTCGGTACTTTGCCACGGCGGAGTGCGGGAACTGCGCCAACTCCCCAGCGAGGTGTTGCAGCACGTGACACCGCAGCTGCACCGCAAGGCATGCAAGTTGTCTGTTCTCGCGCTCTGTGCGAATGGCGGGCCGCTGCGGTTGTGTGATGTGCGGGATATCACCGCAGTGGCAACACCAGGCGATGCGGAGGCGCTGCTTGTCGACATGATGTCGGACGGATTGCTGCGCGGCCGTATTGATCAGCGGGGCGGTGTGCTCGTGCTGCAGGAGTTCGCAGCGCGGGACGTACCTCGCGAGGATGTTGCGATGATGCGGGAAAGGCTGGAGAAGTGGTGCAACAACTGCGATGCACAAATTGCTTTGCTGAAGGAATTGATGAAGGAATAAGTGTGTTGGTGTTGGTGTTGGTGTGTGTGTGAGAGAGAGAGAACTGTGTGGTTTTTATGGGTTTTGCAATGTATTATTGAACTGAAGAGAAGCGAGTGTAGTTCAGGACACCTATAGATGTGACCTTCCTTACTTCCTTATTTTCTTACTTCTTTTTTTTTTCTTTTTTTTTTTTATTCATTACTTCTTCTTGCCAAAGAATGAGAGGGAAAGAGAAAACAAAAAGAAACTTTATCAGGTGTGATTGTAGCTTTCCTGTAAACCTCCTTTCTCTCTCCTGCTGCTAAGAAATCTGAGAAAGAGTTTCCACAAGTTCTCAAACGCACATGACATCATCTGCTCGTGTTACTGCCACACTGTGGGATGGTCTGCCCCTTACAGTAGAAGAACTTGCACTCAGATATCGGCGCATTCTTCGTATCAACAAAAACCTTTCTGCATGTATAGATTCTTTTCGTGTTGAGTGTGATAAACTTGCTAGTAGCTCTCCTTATGCTGCTCAGGCGCTTCGTGATATTCTTCCTGTTATTTCAGAAGTAGGATCGAGTAATTCTTGCAACCCAACAACTTCTGTTGACACTGCTACTGCTACTGCTACTGCTACTGCTGTTGTCGTCAGAGATGGCAAAATGTCTAGAAGCCAGAGTGGTGTTCTTGAAGGTGTGGTGGTAAAACAAGGCAAGGTCCAACACACCTCATCTCATTCAGTAGTAGTTGATAATGCAAAGTCACGCATTTTGAGATTTGTGGAGGATACCACACGTGACTACAAGGAGGAATACAATGTGTTACGGCTGAAGCTAATGGAAATGGAGAGTTCTCAGCAATTACTAGCAACAGCCCTTCGGGATGTGGAAGATCAAAAGAAACGTTGTGCGAGATACGCCTCTTCTCTCGATGTTTGTCGTGAAGAACTGGCTAAATCTCGATCACAATGTCAATTTTTGCTCAATATCCTTAGTGATGGTTATTACAACAACAACAACAACAACAACAGCAAGAACAAAAACAAAAACAGCAACGACAATAATTGTACAGAAGAAGACGAGGTGGAACGTTTTATTGAGGATATTAGGTTAAATCTTGAAAAGGTTGATGAAATAAGCAAAATAAAAGGTATCCAAGAACCATTAGGGGATGAGGGTGCATCCAGACTTTCTCTTGGTATACGTGTGGTTCAAACAGAAGTGGCGCTGCAGGAATCGCAGGCGGCAGTAAATTCGCTTAATGCTTCAGTGGAGCAGTTGTCGTATGATAATGATCACCTGAAGGCAAGATTGGAGGCGCTGACAGCAGAGCGTGACACTCTAAAAATACAATGCACCCAATTGGAGGGACAGGTGCAACGCGTACTAACGCTCCTACACGAAGATCACAACAGTCAGTATGATGATGATAACGTTGTCAGACAAAGAAAAGGAATAGACAAATGTCAAGATATGACATCATCTCGCGTAGAGATGGTAGAACAGTTGCAGAAACTACAGGAGGAGAATCGTTCTCTTCAACAAAGCGTACAGCAATATAAGCGACAGATAAATGACGCCGAATTGCGTGCGGAAGAGATGGCAGCTGAAGAGCATAAAAAAGATGAAGAGATACATGCACTAGAAGAGGAAATAATACATCTACGCAAAGCGGTTCATGAGAAACAGCTCAAACTTCAACAAACTTGCAACTCGTGGAAGTCTGCAGCAGCAGATTGGGGCCAACTAGATAAGGTGCACCGCACCGTGATTGAACATATATCAAGACGTCTGGTTTTGTATACCGGCAAAGATCTCCTCGCCGCACATGGGAGTGATGATTTGATAACTGAGGTACCAGAGAAACATTTATCCCCTTCAGGGGCGATAAAACTCGTAAAAGAGATCAAAAAGGAAGAAGTTCAGAAATTATCAGAAACTGAGACGACAACTATAGAAGAAGTACCAGTGAATCTTTCCAGTGAAAATGAACGAGTAAAAGAACTTCTAGAACGTATTGAATCAATGGAGTCAGAACATCGTTCGTTAATGAAACACTGGCAAAAAGCGAATCATGAGCTGCGATCTGCCCTTGCAAGCTCACAAGAGGAGCTTAGGAAAAAAGATAACCGTATCAGAGTTCTGGAACAAAGACAAGAGTTAAATATGATGAATGTTGCAACGTGTGAATCTCAATATGACACTGAATATCAAAGCAAAGGTTATGATAATACCAAAAAGAATACTACTATAAGTAGCAATAGTACGCATGGTGTTTCAATAACTCAGGATTATAGTGTGAACCAAATATTACCAGAGGATTGTAGATTATTGCAGGTAGAAAATGAATCTCTTCATCGGCAAATTTTTGATTTAAAAGAAAAATATTCCTCTCTTAATCTTCTTGTGGATAATTACCGTAAACGCTGTGAGACACTAGAGCGAGAAATTGAACATAACGCTAAAACGATGACTCAATTGGTGATATGTGGTTTTACTTCACCAACTCCTACCGGTGTGCGTAGTTCTTCTACTAGCGCTCGTAGCTCTACAGATGTGATTCAAATTCGCAATCTTCAGTCCATGCTACAATGTGTACTGCAAGAGAAGATGGAACTGTTAACTAAGCTAAGAGAACTTGAGGCTAGTTAAACTAAGATTGTTTGGCCCGTTCTCCGAGGCAAATTGAATGTTTTGTTATGTCTTTTTTTCTGTGTGTAATTTATCGGATGTGAAAGATGAATTAACAAAAGAATTTGGTTTTAAACTTATTGTTACTCCTTTCTTTTTCTTTTTTCTTCTTTACTTTTAGTTGGCTCAATTGGTATCTTTATTCTCTAGCTGTTTATCGGCATTTTTTATTTATTTATTTCTTTTTTTTTTGATGGAATCCTGATATAAAAATTGTTTTTCTTTTTCTTTCTATTTCTTCCGATAATTAATTCCAGAGAACAGGGAAAACCTAAATGACCTCAGCGTCTATTAAAGCGATGATGGCGAAGGCAGCCACAACGTCCCCCACCTTCTTTAGCGACCGCAATTCGGTTCAGGGACGTGAGCAACGTAAAGAGATGATGCAGAAGGAACGTAGAGAACGAGCATCAACGCTATCGCAGTGGTACGGAATGAAGAAGGCACACGTGGGCGCTGAGGAACAGCAGGAACTTGAACTGCTGAAGTTCCGTAACTTCATTAACCCCGAGTTGAAGCATCAGGCACCAAAGAAGAGCAGCGGCAACGAAACAAGTGGGTTCGTGGAGTTTGGCTTCTTCGCTGGTACTGGACGCAACAAGCGACGACGCCTCAAGTCTTTCGCAGATGAGTGGGCTGAAGAGAACCCGGATCTACAGCAACTAGTGGCGAAGCGGCTTAAACAGAATGTTAGACTAAATCGCAAAACAAAGCAAATAATGGCAAGAAAGGCCGCAAAGGAGGCGGCACGCGCCAAGACGAAGAAAGCTTCAAAGCGGGCCAAAAAGAATGATTCACTTTTTTGATTACCTGATAAAGGAAGTGGAGGCATCCTTGCAGAAAATAAAGAAATAGTAGAAAACGTTTAAGTTGAAAAAGTGATATTATGTTTTTTTTTGTTTTTTTTTTTTCCGTAAGAAAATAATTTGGTGGTGTTCTTCACATCTTGTCTATTTATTCCATTTTATTTAAATATCTCATTGGCTGTATGATAGTTTTTTTTCTTTCTTTTTTTCTTTCTGTCTTTTAACTATTTGAAATGGTTCACGTAGTAATGGGGGTCCATAGAGGGAGAAGATGCTCCCTGGATTAACACCTCAACAGATCAATGAAGATCCATCTGCTGCTGAAGACGTGGCGAATGACGCGACAGTAGTTGCTGCTCTTCTTTGTAATACATCATTGATTGGTATGTACCGCATTCAAGAGCACTCACGGCGACGTGCTAAGGACATGGTTGAGCATGGAAAAATGCTGGGGCGATTAAACACGGAGAAGTACCGTCCACTTCAGGAGGACGTGGAGTTAGCAAGATGGTCTTTGCACGAGACCGTCGAGGGAGGGCGAGACGCATTGCAGCGAATGCATCACTGTGTGGGACGACTTATTGCCGCCACACAGAACACAGACACCACAAAAGTGTTGTGATGACAGTAACTACAGTTGAAGTGAAGAATTGTCAGTGAATGGAAAAGAAATGAGCTGGCATCAATGGATGATGTGCGGTGCTTTAAAGTTGGAGTTAAGGTTTTGGCTACAGCAGAATCATCAACTCCCCCGGAGTATGGAATGGGAAGTTTTTCTTCCTTTGCCTTTTTTTTTTTTGTTAATGTTCCTGTGCTTCCACATGTGCCTGGTTTTTTTTTTTTTAATTATTTTTTTTTTTCTTCTTCTTCTGTTGCCGTTCTGATTAATTCAAAAAAAAAAAAGACCCTTCTTTTTTTATTGCTAAAGGAGGGGTGTTAATGTCGCGCAGTACTGTCTTCGGTCCTGGATCACAGTTTTCTTTTACTAAGTTTGGTGCCTTGAGGCGTACCAATAGTAACGTTGTGCTGAATAGACGTGTAAAAGATATTTTTAGACTCGAGAACCAGAAACACATACGCAGTGACGTGGGCCGTGAGCGACGGTATCGTTTCTGCACAAAGTGTGGCATTACAACAGTGACAATTAACTTTAACGCGGTTCCATCCGCACGCATAGGACTTTGGGGTCGTTGTGTCAACGACAAGGACTACACTCATCACAACTTTGTGGAGCTTTCTCATCGGGAGTACGAACAGCTTCGTGATTCGCCAGTGGAGAAGCGGGTGCATTGGTGGCGCTATGAGCGACATTGACAGCACACAAATCATCTCTGATTCATGGAAGGGGAAAAGAAAAGAAAAACAAGTGAAAACATAATGGTACATGTTTCTTTATTATTTTCCTCCTTCTTCTTCGTTCAAATAGATATGTATATATATATATTTATGGTTACCCTTATTTTGCTTTTCCATACACATGTATTCATATGTATATATCTACAGGAATGGTTTTTTTTTATTTTTTATTTTTTTCTCTTTCTTTCATTCAGACTTTTATGAATCTTTACAAGTGGCATCCATGCGAGGAGTACGACGAAGTCTCCGACACAGCAAAGGGAAATATTTCGCTTAGTCTCGGAAGCAAGTGCAGTTCTTCTGATGATCTAGATTCATGGAGCAGTGCCTCAGAAGAAGATGAACTTGAGTCTCTTATGCAAATGCGGCAGCGGTTAGAACTTTTACATGAACGTTTGATGCGGTATAGTGAACAACATGTAAGTGTAAAGGGACTTTTAAAGCTCTCTCGACGTTTGAAGAAGGAGATAGCCTTAGTTGAGGATACAATACACTTAATTTCAGAAGAAAAAGGTGATGTAGAGCCACAATGTTCACTTTTACACGATGCTAGTGTACATCATTATGAGTTGATACTTGCCGCTCTGGAGTGTGAACCAGATGTTGTAAGTGTATGTACATTAATGCGACCCATTAGGAAGAAGAAGGAAGAAAAAGAGGAACAAACAGAAGTGGATATTGTCTCTTGTGGTGGTTTGCGTTGGTTGAAGGTGCGTGCAGCATCATCGCAGCGACTACATTCGGGAATGATAGAGTGTTGTGGTCGTGAATGCTCTTGTTGCTACTGCGCCCCAGTTTCTCATCTTCTCTCACTGGCCCGAATGAGGCGATTACCTTTCATGCAAGTACCACAAGTAGTCGTACTTTTCCGTCACCAACCACCATTAGCGATGATAGAGAACATACAACGCATGGGAGCGCGACCGGTAAGTTACGCCGAGATGCTTGCGAAGATGGGGGATAAAAGTACTCTGCAACAATATTGGTACAAATCAGAGTTTTTACCGTCCCTTTCTTTTAATGTAGATTTTATATGCTTTGACACAACTGCACTAGTGGCTCTCTGCTCTGAAGCATGTTTTGCTGATGCCCCTGCAGAGAATGTAGTGGCGTTGCAGAATTATCACGTAATGGCAGAGCAGCAGCGCAGAGAGATGGAAACTCCATGTGTGCGTAGTCATATTGAACCTGCACTAGAGCGTTACACAAAATGGTATGATAAAGATGAGTTTATTGAGAGGATGCGTGAAAATGTAATGCGGCGCGGTGGGGACGCATCATGTATATCACATATACATACTATTGATTTGTCATGGCTTGAAGAGCTTATTGCTACAACTTCGTTAACGTATGAGTTTGAATCAACCATAAATGAGAGTTTACTGGTTCGTCGCGTGCAGGAGAGATGCAAAGATCGAATGGCAGACAATTCTACTTCCTGCTTTCCTAACTGGATCATTGCCGATATTACACTTGCAGAATTTCGATGGATAATGGAGACTATAGCCGGTCCCAAGGAACTGCGTCGAGCTCTTTCATTACTACATTGTTGTTGTGTTGCTACCATTGACCGAAAATGTCTGGAGGGAAATAACCCTCTTCTAACTAATGTGTCTCTCTTAGCGACAAGGAACAAAGTATCATTACGTAATCGTTTGGTTTTTGGTTTAGGTGATATTTTGGGGGCCGTAGTCTTTTCATCTAACCGCCAAATAGTGTATGCCGCACAGGATGAGGGCGTTGAGATCTTAGTAGTTTCACATCCGGCACGAGCGCTGGTTGAACAGAAAGTCTACGGTATGCAACGAAGAGACGGACCAACTGCTCCTCCTCCCATTGATTCAGAGTGTTGTTAATGCTCATTCTTGAAAGTGATGTTATTAATTACCCTTTGGGGGGACTACAATCTTAATCGCTGAAGGTGCAAGAGATAATTGTAAAGGGGACGGGGAAACACCAATAAATTCCGAACAAAAAAGAAAAGAAAAAAAAAAAGAACAAATGAATCTGGTTTTGCGGTATTCTCGTTTTTTTTTTTTTTTTCGTGATTTCTCGATTAATAAGTTTACTCACTTTAGACCTTCATTTTCCATAATAAAATGCCCATTATTACCAATATGTAGATATATATATGGTATTTATGCATTTCTCTATGTATCTTTTCTCTTTTTTTTTTCGTTTTGTTTTTATTTATTTATTTATTGCTGAATATGATGATATTTTACCTGTTCAAAGCGGCTTATAATATTAACCGTTCAAGATTGTGCAGTGGTACTCCATGTCCTTTTCTAAAAACATGTTGATTTGTGATATTAAGCTCCGTGATGCACTTGCTTCGATGGAATGTGTACGGAGGGAGATACTTGCCCAAAATAGAACCTTTTTGTCAATTAGAAAAGACGTGTATTTCCAAGTGCTTGGCAATCGTGCATGCTTTTCCTTGGATGAGTTGAAAAAACATGAAATTGTTGTGATTCTGCAACGTATTTATACTGTTTTTTTCAGCCAAATAAGAGGATCTTTTTATAAAGATGATGTTATACAGCTTTTCTTGGAATTATGCCATTTTCACAAAATCAGTTTCGGTTCAGTGAAATCTCGAGATTTGTGCTTTAACTTAATTATCTCTCTTTTTTTGCAATATCAACGGAAACAAAAGTTACGGAAAACGGGAGTATATGACCGCGCAAGACTTCCTTCTTTACATAACCCATTACCGCGGTTGGTGGTGATATACCCCAGTTTTCTTGTAAAGAATAAATCTCTCTTGAATCAGTTCCTGCAGTCGCCGCCATTGTTTATTACATTTCCATTAGAGGACGCTGTGATACGTCTTCGACTGGAGGCATCTGAGGTGAATGAAGATCCAAGTTCTTGTGGGAGACTCTATACCTGTTATACCTGTCATGTTAGTCGTCCTCAACCCTGGTATAAGATTGAGTTTTGCAAAGATGGCGAAGCCACTGGTGTTCAAAACACTGCAAGTCTTGAAGAAGAAGGAGATATCCGTAAAGATTTTAACTTGTGTATTATTTGTGCCTTTTATTTCTACTGTTTGACGTCTAATGGACTTTCACGTGTGATCAACGAAGTACCAAGAAGATTTCGAGTGAGTCCTGACACTGGAATATACATGGTTCATCTTTCAAGTAAAGATGATACGGTAATTGTCAAATTTCGTCTTAAACCAAGAGGCGCTCACCCAATTGTGTGGATTGCAAAAAAAGGTATGAATCAACCCCCCGCCTCTTGGCGCTCTAAACTAAAATTTGTTTCCTCTGAAGTGCGCCAACGATCTCATGATGGATACAGTACCAATGAGGATGCCTGCTTGATCTGTCGTGAGAGTCTCAAGAATGGAAAAGTTGTGTGGCAGGCAGTTTGCGGACATTGTGTTCATGAGAATTGTTGGCGGAAATTGATGCTAAGAATGATGAATAAGTGTCCACTCTGTCACCAAAAGGATTTCTTAACAAGGGGTATCAAGTTAAGCAATAATCTTAATGAATTTGAGGTACATGTCAAACGACCAGATAATCGGAAGAAATTCGTTCTGGTAATAGGCGCATTAATTTCTTTGGATGGACAGTACCACAACTATACTAATATTTCTGCGTGTAGGTCCCTCTACATCAATCACCCCTGCTCTCATAATTTTAATGAGAACGAAGAAAATCTAATTAATCCGTTTCACTCTTCTCTTCAGGGTGGATGAAATTCAATTTTGCATATTTTATACAGTTTGATTTATTTTTGCTTGTTTGGAGATGGTATAATAGTTTGCCTTCTCCTCTTTTACAACAACAACAAAAAAAAAAAAAAAACAGAGTTCAAATGTTATCTTTGGAACAAGGTTTTCCTGCTTAAATCTTCCTTTTTCTTTTTCTTTTGGATGATAATTTCTGTGATTATGTTCTTGAGGAGTCTTTCTTGGAATTTTTTTTTTGTGATGATTTTTTTATTCTTCGAAATATGGATTGCAAATTTCAGAGAAAATAAGATTTTTATCTATGTATAAAAGTACAGAAGTCATAAGGAAAATAAATCATGCTTTTTTTTTTTTTTTTTTTTTATGCTTGTCAAGTATACTGGGTTGTTAACAATTCTTTTTTTTTTTTGTGTGTGAGAGAGATAGATTGCGAAGGAAATGTCTTCATATTGCTCGTGTCTAGGGAAAAAATACATGGCAATCATGCTTTTTTTTTAACATTGTCGCTCCACTGCTTTTCATAAGAGATAAATTTTTTAAGTTTAATTAACCTATGCTTCACTCCTTCTTCGTAAGATGGGTTAGAGAGAGCTTTTTGCTTTTTTTTTTTTTCTTTGGTATTAAAGATTCATAAATAATGAGGAGTCCCTTTTGGAGTTAAGGTGTTCTTTGACTGTGACACATTTCTCAATAAATAGAATAAGAAAATATCTTTAAATAATAATAATAATATATACATATATATATACATATATATATATATATACACCTTATTTTTCCCCTTTGTCATCTTTGTGTTGTGAAAGGTAAGTTTAAGATTACTCAAAAGGTATTCTGGGAAGTGTTGGTTATCGTTTTGGTAATGAAAAATCCTTTCGACGGATTAAACGATCCTACCACTGCGTCTTCTATACCAACTATAGATAGTAATAGGGCGAGAGAAAATTCTGTAGGTAGGAGAAAAGAAAATACCGTTATATTTCCTAGAATAATAAAAGGTCGTGGTGGTTGCCGATATGAACGAATAGATGACAAAGAAGATGGAGAAAATATCATTTACGTTCCGCATGGTGCCGTTCATGTAAGATTAGAACTTGGATGGAAGGCAAAGTACGATAGCAACAAGGGCAAACTGTTTTTTATTCGTCTGAATGATACAACCAATAAAATTTGGCGTCTGCCTGCAGTTCCAGATGAGGTGTTGCTGCAGTATGGTATCATTAGTAACGACAGTGGCAGAAGCAAAAATGGCAACAGTAACAATTCTGTTGAAAGAGAGAGAGAAGAGCAAGAAGAAGTGAGGAATTCATCAAACAACAGGATCGAAGAGGAAGGGGATGAAAACGTAGACATTGATACTAGTTATGAGGGAATTCTACACGAAAAAGATGAACAACCATCCTATGAATATAACAGTGATCCTCGCTCTTGTTCTATTAATACCGCTGATAAACTAGCGGTAGATGATAATGAACGTAGTAGCTCTGTAGCGACTCAATCACCATCATCATCATCAAAGAAGTACAACACTACAGTACCAGATACTACACAGTGGGAGAAAAGTAAATCAATAGTTTCTATAGGTACAGATCCTGTGCCCACAGAACCACGATCCCTTTTTGCTCTTATGAATACAGAGGCATGTTCTGCAGTGCCACGTATAAGCCGATCTATTGATCCCCAAAACTTTCCAATACGACAGAATTCATTGAACACAGAGAAATTTACGCATAATCACGTTGATTTGAATTCTTTCTTTTTGAAAAATATGATGGTAGAGACGAATCCAGAATTAATATTGGTTCAACACCTTCAAGAGGAAAACAATTTTCGTTGCGCTTTGGAGGAGGAGGAATTTAATGCCCGTAGTGAACTATTGGATGTGGTACAAAAAATGCTTGATGAGTTGCTCTTTCGTGAAGAAATTACGGAAGAAGATGTTGAACAGACTAATGTACCTAATAAGGTAGAAGATTTACCTTTTGTATCAAATAGTATGACAGATGACAATGAAATGTTTTTGCGGAATTCACGATTGATTGAAATTGGAGATGACAATGATGATAATGCAGTAACTCCACTGGAGAAACTATTACGTGATTACACATCGTCTGCTTTTCATGAGGATGATATTTCTATTCCTGTCACTGGTACGTTTGATAACATTTACCATCCTCCATCTGCGAAGAAAGATGAGATAATATCCCCTTTGCAGCTTGATAAGAAGCCCGTTGTACATGAGCAGATTCACAAACCGCAGCAAACTCACTTGGAGAGTACCAAAACGGAGTTGCCTCCTGCTCGTCTACTCGAGGCGCAGCGTCATCAGGTAGAGATGGAGCGACGGTTAACTCAACGCGATCGTGATAATTTGGAACGTGCTCTAGATAAACGTTATCAGCAGATCGATATCCCTCCAGATACACATGTGCAGTTGCGCTATGAACCGAGTAGTCACTTTACTCGTGAAAGACAGACTATTTTAGATGCTCTAGGTATCATTCCGAACTGTAATTCTTCACAAGGTGAAATAGCATCTCCAAAGAAACCACAACAATATCAGCAAGAACACCCTAATGCAAAATTACAGAGTGCGGATGTTTCGCCGATATCTCCTAAAACGTTTATTCGCTCCCCTACACCAGCGAAACAGTCAGAAATGAATCAAATTAAAAGGGAATATATTCTTACTGAGGCATATGAAACAAAATACGAGGTTGGTCTTGCAGCTATGCAGTCATTATTAGAGTTATATCAGAAATTTATGATAACAAAACCGGAGCCGAAACTATGCAAGAAAGAAGAAATATCACTTATTAAAAATAAAGAATTAGCTGTAGATGAAGTGATGGAGTCATCATTAGAAAAATATGCTAATCGTCTTAATCGCATTAAACAACTCTATACTTGTACTAAAGGAAAGACAAGGGAATCACAATATCACGGGAATGGGTACACCTGTCGTTCTGTTCGTACACCAGCTTTACCTTCTCCTTTAAACTATCGAAATACCATAGAAGATACACTACCCTATTCTATAAACGCATCAACAACGGAAGAAAAAACACGCTTGTGTATAGATGTATCAGATGGCAAAATAAACAGTATTAAGAAAAGTTTGCATGCTGATAATAATAATAATACAGCTCAAAAATTCTCAAAATCTTTCTCTGCATGGCAAAAAAGAGGAATAAAAACACCCAAATTTATTACCGGTGAGATGAAAAATAAGTATGGGATATCAGATAATGCTATCAGTCCGCATTACTTTCCTCATCGTCTTATTACAACACCTCCTGTGGTAATCCCTATTAACGTACCGAGACTTAATGATACTGTTACTGTATCGAGACCAGTTCTTCGATGGGATGCAAAACGAAGTGGTAATATTCTTATCTCTCATAAAGGAACAACATGTATGGCAGATGCATCACGAGCTCTCAAACTAATAGCTTCAGAGACAGATAAAACGGGTGTGACCATTCCTAGTGTATTGATTCCAATGTACGCTCTCGGTACAATTGGAATTTCAGAAGGAGAATTTATTTTTGAAGTACGTATTGACATTCCTACATCGTCGACATCTGGAACAGGTAGTGGTATATTTGCCGTTGGGGTTACCACAAAGTATTATAGAGGTCCGAGTAAAAGTAACCCAGCGTATTTATTTCGTTCAGATGGCACAATTGTAGCTACTTCTGAAGATGAAAAAGGTGTTCCATATGGTTGCCCATATCATTCAGGTTCACATATTACAGTTTATTTAGATTTGGTACAACAACAACTTTCTTTCTTTCTTAATGGGCGTCCACTAGGTGTAGCGTTTAAATTTAGGGGTGTTGAGGATCCAGAACCATTGTTCCCAGTTGTGGTCTTAAGTGGTGAGGGTGACACAGTAAGTTTTGTTCCCCCATCAGCGCCACAACTACCCCGACATTTAAAACCATCATTGGGAGTGGAATCTCACGTAATGGATGCACAGTAGTGTTATTATTATTATTATTATTATTATTTTCATTGTACATTCTATTTTTTATGCTTCCTGTCTTTTTAAAGAAAAAATTTCTCTGTTACCTATGTGGTGATCTTCTACATATTTCTATTATAAGATACATACATCTTCGTATATATATATATATACCCAATTTTGTTATTGATGAATACGTTTTTTCCCTTCCCCCCTCCCCCCTTTTTTTTCCCTCTGTAGTGCTGAGACTGGGAGATGGCAGAACTCCACATTATTGGAGATCTCACATTGGGTGAAAATTTTGGTAGGAATAGCTATTTTTGCGTATTTGAGATAGTGACAGGTGAACACTGGAGTGTGATAGAAGGGCGTACGTCTGGTTGCACTCACATTATGGCTAGTGATGAGGAGGGACGTATCTCATGGTCTTTCCCCATAGATATCCATTTTACAATGAACAGTATAGAAGGTTGGCCTAAGATATCTTTACAGATTTGGTCAGTTGATAGCTACGATCGGAAGGAGTTGGCAGGATATGGCGTCGCTTTCGTTCCACCACCAAGTATAGAAGAGCAAGAGGTAGTAGTTGAAACCTGGAAACCACTTTACTGGAGTCCAAATTTTTTCCGTCGCCTTTATGATACCTTCCGGCGTCTACTGTTAGGTGGAAATCCCGTACTACGTGATAAGGCTTTGATATACACCAATGATGAACGTTTTAAATTACATACCATCAGTGGTGGTACTGTACGACTTCAGTTGAACGTATTGTCTCGAGGATTGCAACAGTTGGGAGTTCGATATACGTGAGTTGAAGTTATAAGTATGACATTATAGAGTTAGGTGCAGTCTTTTATGCTATTTAACCTTGATAAAGAACGTATTTTACTGAACAGTTTCATTTGTACAACTTTATCTTGTACCTGTTTATGTTTCTTCACTTATTTTTATTTCTCTTTTTTTTGGTATTCTTTGTTTCTTTTTTTTTTTCGTGGGGGTTGACAAAGGGAAGGGTACATTCTTTCTTTTTTTCTTTTTGTGCCAACCTGTCAACTAAAAACCAAAGAAGAAGGAAAACGAAAAAAAAAAAAAATAGAGTTACCAAGTCCCCTTGTTTGCTTAGCATATAATGGTAGATGAAAACAATGGTTGGTGTGGTGTGCATTTTTTCGTTAGTGTGGATGTGTTGTTGACGTTTGAGACTGTGAAGTTGTCGGATTTAGAGGGACGCCCGGGGCATCCGCAGCGGCGTATTGCGCTGGTGGAGGGTCGGGCCGTCCCGGTGACGTCGTACCCGGCGGCCACGCTCTTTCTTGAGACGCTGCGGGCGAGCGGCAACGCGGTGTCGGTGGTGGCGCCGTGGGCCCCGGCGGTGACGGCGTCGATCCTGCGGCTCTTTGGGTGGGACGCGTACGGCACCTGCCCGCTGCGGCCGGAGCCCGGACTGGACGCGTACCGCCTGTCGTCGGTGGGGTGCCACGTGGAGGCGTACGGCCGGGCGGTCGTCGTCGTCCCCGCCCGCGAGAAGTGGGACGCGGCGCTGTGGCCGCAGACTGTCGAGGTGCGGCATGCGGCGGGGCAGCCGGCGGCGTCCCTCGCACTCGTGCGGGCCCTCTCCTCTTGTTTGCGCCTCGCTGAGTGCCGCGTGCGTCTCCCACACACCGCCGTTGCAGCCGGAGCCGCCCTCACACGGGCACAGCTCTTCGCCCCATACCGTTTCTGCATCGCAGACACTGTGGCCGAAGTTTCCCGTGTGGCGCTGCTTATTAACGAACATGGAGGTAGTCTGGTGACACGCTGCGAGGACGCTACACACTACGTCGTTCCAGACCCAGATACAGCCTTACTATGTACTCTTCAAAAACCAAGGCTGTCCACTTCACACAGAGAGAGAAGCTCCTCTTCCTCCACCTCCACTTCATCCTCCAATACGTCTGTTGACTCTTCCATCGAAAATGAGGATGAAAGTATTCTCTCAGATGGAGAGGGAGAAAATGAAATTTGGGTAGATGATGAGGAGGGTGAAGATGCTGGGAATGTCGACTCGCCGTTGGCGCAGATGGATCAGACGGTGACTCTTCATGAAGAAGAAACTAGTAACACCACTACCAACAATGACAATAAAAACAAAACCAAGAAGAAAGATAATAATTTAGGTTCACATCTTCCTGTTTTACCAGATATTAGTGAAAACCAGAGGGCTTCCGTGAGTGGTGCATCTACAGGAGGATTAAAAATGACGACGACAACGACAACAACATCATCGTCATCATCTCAAACAGTTACAGCAAGTACTGTCACTACCCGCTGGTTGAAAGACTGTGTAGATGGACTTTTGGTATATCCCCCACAAGTGGCTCATACGAGTGATGACAGCTCACAGTGGAATATTTCCGTCTTGCTATTAGCTGTACTTCTTCCTCCACCAGACGCGGAACCTATTTCTTTGTCTCAAATAAACAGTATTGCAGAACATTATGGTTTTCCACCTCTGCAAACATCACAGACAACAGGTGGTGTTGACTTGGCCACTATTCTTCAGAAACAGTGGGGAACAGCATTACGTATAGAAGTGAAGGGAGAAGACCTATTTCTTTCTCATCCTCCCATTCCGTCCAATGAAGACGGATATGAGTTGAAAAGACAATTTGAATTTATTGCTGATGCATTTTGTGATACATGGTCGACAGCTATGCGAAACAAACGGCTTCGTAATACAATAGAAACAGGTACACAAACTGCTGTGGTAGTGACTGCAGTAGCTGAGACAAATACTGATGCTATACCTACATTTTTAGAAAGTACTTCTGTGGAGGCACAGCCTCAAGGGCGAACACTCTTAAAGCGTGCATTAGCTCCTACAGAATGGGCAAAAGAACTGGACTTTTCTTATCCGACAAGCACAACATCACGTCCAGTAGAATCCTTAGTGGCATCAGAAAGTACAAATGGTCTAGCAGTGGTGACTGAACCGCCACCAGTATGGGAAACATCACCAGAGACCTATAAAGCAAATATCTCTAGTGAAGAGAGCAAAGGAATTGGTGTACTACAGACACATGATGATGTAAAGGAAACGACTATAATTGATAAGGTAAAAGAACCGGAGGATGATAACAATGAGTATATGATGTGTTTTATTCCTACTGATGGACTCGGAAGTGATCAGGAGACATTAGATAAAGATTCTTTGCTACGACAACCACCGTTCCGAAACTATCCAATGAAGCTTACTATTGATGAACGTGGGATTCATTGTCTTTTTGTTACTTCTCTTGATGCAAAAAGGTTTCGTCAGGAGGGTTATGCAGAAGTACGTAATCGTTTCTTACCTATTTTACCAGAGTATGAGAGTGAAAACCTCTCATCTATGGGGTCTCGAAAGCGTCGTCGTAGTCGATCACCAGTGATAAAAAAATCAGGAAGCAGTTCATCAAGGAGTAGTCGCAAAGATTCATCTTCTAGTGGTCACAATTCACAGTCACAGTATGGGTTCTCAGATGCAAGAAAATCAGGAGATATCGTTACTAGTGGTGAGTTATCAAAAAGTGATATGGAACTTCTGAATGAAATAGGTGCAACGTATGATTTTGCCCTTCAGAAAGTGGATGTGGTAGAGCATTACGCTCTTAATGACCTTGCAGATCCTGTGTATCGCAAGCAACAGCATCAACTTCTTCGAGTGGTAGCTAAATTGAAATACATAAAGGCAAACTCTGTTTAAAATAAAGGAACTAGGGCGTGAACACACACAAAAAAAAAATAAAAAAAAGAAACAACAACAAGAAAGAATAAATTTTGCTGAAAAGATGCGTTTTTTTTTTTTTTTTTTTTTTTGTGTTTAATTGTGAAGTTAGTAAATAAGTACAATGTCTACTGCCAACGAAGAGTCAGGGGTAGACTTGAAACACGAAAAGAGTAGTAACAAACTGATGTCTACTGAACAG